GTAGTACAATATGCTGCATGGGAAAAGATCATATAGAAGAAGAATATATTGGAGACACCAGTAAAAGCAGTTTATCATTGCATAAAAAGAAGAGTGAATTCCGAATAGACCCCTCTGGTATCACCCAACTACAAACAGACCCCCTGTATATTGGCCTATGTGTGAATACATCCTCTTAGTGAACTTTTTTGACTCCTCTAGAAGTCAAAAAATAAATTCGCAATTGAGTTTCTATCCTCACCAATGGAGCTATAGGGGGTCTTCCCGCCTCCTCAAACCTTTTTAATGATTTTAAGAGTCGAACAAAATTCACTCAGTTAGGCTTCGCAAGTCCAAAGAGAACTTGTTGACTGGCTGTCACGACCCATAAATTCATTAACGATTAATATTTGTGTTGGTTTGGGACGTGACACCGTCAGATTGCCAGCATAATTGCATCCTCTGAAACTCTAGAGAAATATTTAACAATGTTTGATCAATTAAAGGTAAAAAAGATCTTTATCCTAAACTTTTTAATAATGGTAAATCACCACCATAAACTAAAGAAATTGGCTATTAGATGCAACAAAAATATCAATATAGAGCAAAGTCATCATCACTTGGTTGTACATTCACCTAGCTACGATGCAGGGCAGCAAACGGGGAAGTATGTCATGAGTCAAAACTGAAAAATGTCTCCTAGATAATGATTCCAATAAACTCAAACTGAACCATAAATGGTATTATTGCTGGAGAAATAATAATAAAATTCGTGTTATACTAGGTTTGCTAACTTTATTTTGATGGTGACATTATTTATGTCATCCAAAAGAGTATATAAACATGAAAAGTTTGTTCTTTTAAAGCTTATTTTCGGATATCATTTCAGGCCAATAACTAAAACAACCAATTTAAAGGGATCACTAAACCTGCCTCAGAGGAGAACTAAATACTGTTCTTCTAAATAAGTCACGTACTCATCAGGAAAGTTTAGCGAATACCTTCCAGATAATACACTGATGAATGCACTATCGCTGTCATCAAAATGGCAAAGATTGGTCTTTCCTGTAGTACCAGGTAACAAATTTTCGTCTGCAACAGAATGCAAGGGACTGGGTGTACTGAAGGCTAAAACCTTTTCAAGATGAAAAAATGTCATCAGTCCAGGTTTAGAAATAACCAGCGCTTAAAGTGAACATCAAAAGCAGCAAATCATGGAGATGAGACTGTTTACCTTCTCATCCTCTACGGCCCATTTATAATTACTACATATCTCATAGAAGGAAAATAAGTTTCCCTGTTGACACTTCCAGTAATTAGTTGAAGGTGGATGTTTGCATCTGAAAACCAAATCTTTGAGTTGTAATTCTTACTAACCTCCTGGAATGATGGAAAAATTGGCATTTTACAACCAATACAGAGCTGGTCACTCTGCGAACTCAACATCATTGCTGATGGAATGCCAACCTGAATTCTGCCGTACGCTTCACAAATCAAGATACCTCCAGTGCCGAACACAGTAGCACGGACAGTCTGCCCATAGTAGATCAATTATAGGAAGGTGCATAAGCAGATAAAACTGAAACTACTTGCAGAAGCAAAGATACTTAGACAACTGCACAGTTAAAGAAAAAATAAAGCTCGAGGTTTTTTGTTTTGTTCTGAGAAAAGCAGAAGGGGACCAGTTTGAAACATTTGAAATGTCCAGATAAAGATTTTCTGCGGAGCACTTACTGCATTTCCAGTGGAAATCGCAGAAACTCGTCCTGACGACCCTTGAATTATTGCAATTTCTCCATCCATGCTAGCATATTCCACAAGAGCGCCATATTTCGGGCCACCTTTCACTGTCAGCTAAAGAAGAAATAAAGATGAAGTGATTTTAAAATGAAAAGAAAGGAAGGGGGAAAAAAGGAAAAAGTGATGGCAACAGAAGATAACAATAATTTGTTACTTAGTTAGAAATCACAGTTAGTGATTATATCATACTTCTGGTTAAGGCTAGAAAGAGCAAAGTCAAAAATAGTATTATGCAGAGTAAAATTTCCAAACATACAGGAAAAAGTGATGCTCGATCATAATATGCATAAGCAAATGGCAAAGAAATAGTTGAAAAGCATACACAGATGCATAAAGATGATGTGATTACCGTGTAGGAAGCACCAGGTGCTAGGTAAATATACTCAGGGTTTAGGCGAAGTGGACTGTAAACTTCCACCTTAATCATTTGACTGAGTATTTCATTCCCATGCTGCCTAATACTGACCTGCAAATACACACTTTATTAGGAGCCTTTTACAAGGATCGCATGAAAGCATCTATATACTGAATATTGATGCAAAGGCCTGCATCTGAACAGTGTAAACTTACATAAAGGGTGGTAGTACCGAGCACTGTCGCTTTAACTGAGAAATTAGGTATGGAGATTATTCGGCCTCCAAGTTTCGAAGAATCATCCACTCTAACAAGCTCAAGGATGCCATCATCAATATGTACTTGCATATTCATATATTTGTACTTCATAAAATGTGAACATAAACCTCATTAGCAAACCTCGTCCATAGTTGAAAAATAAGGATCATACAAGAAAATTCTATTAGATATATGTGAAAGTCTACAAGAGCAAGATCTCAAACGCATATTCATTAAGCATTTTAATGAAATTCTCCATGATTCTAGATAGCATTCAGCAAAGCTAATGTACAAGGCCAATACATTTACAAAACTTTGTCCACCTTGACATTTTACAGCGAAAAAAGAAACAAATGAAATATAACAATGCATTGAAGGAAAAAGTAACAAGATTAATACTTGATCCTGAAGGAAAAATGGTTGGATACAAGTTCATAATTCACAAGGCAAACACACAAACACACACACCTGAGAATAGTCGAAAACAAAACCGTCTTGTGTCCCTGCTGATATGTCAAAAGCTTTAACAGTCCCTTCCTATAAAAGAACAAATCAAACTCCTAAAGGATCAGGACAAATGAAGGCATGAAGTAATCTCAGGAGAGATTCACATACCATAAGGCTAATCTCTTCATCAGAAATAATCTTAATCCATTCAACATCTGCAACTCTGACCTGCAAAAGATGTAGAACTTCGTTAGGCTGTATGAGAAATTTATTATCTAAAAAAAATCACTTAGTTTCCAGGTGTAAGAACAATTCATTAAGTAACTAAACAAACAATACAATCCTTTTATAACTAATATCAGAAACAAGACTTTTAAGTGTGTCATCTATCTGGTTCACTGATATTTATTACTATAATATCAGCAAGTATGACCAGTTGTGGAATGAAAAAGCTGCCAAGCTCATGGGAGACTCTTATTTGTCTATTTACTGCAGGAAAAACATTAGCTTCAGTACATCAATTACTAGTGATTAGCATACTTATACGTCATTGTAAGAATAATTTTCTACTTCACTACCATAAACCAGAACATATGCGCATGAAGGGAAACAAAAAATCTGTTCATGCAGATATGCAGAGCATCATTTTTCCTTCCTGCACTACTGCAGTATATGTAATACCTATCTTACCTCCCTCATGATAAGATTTTCTTCTACACTGTTGAATGAACTTTCTCTAATACACCCCAAAAGACATGTATATGTGCTTCCCTCACACACACACACACACACACAAGAAAATTTTCCCAGGGACTCTGTTGAGAATTTCTGCAAAAATCTCCATTAAGGGTCATCTCATGGTTTATCTTGTTGAGCACAAACAATATAGGTAAAAGATGAAGATGAAATGCTTCCAACCTTTTCATAAGTTGGTCGTAAAGACATGTTACTTCATCCATCATATATACAAAATTTGCTAATGAAGAGAGAGATAACGGTCGACCGACGACCTCTCTGGACATTGGGTTTGCTGCTGGATGGAGGGCAGTCGACCGGTCCGGTCGACCGCGATGGATCGCGGTCGACCGTACCGGTCGACCGCCGCTGCGGTTTTGAGTTGGGTCTGTTTTCAGACCCGTTTCGTTTTGGATTTGTATAAATACCCTTTGGGTGTTTTTTAGGGTTAAGAGCAAGGACGAATTTGAGCAGATTGAGAGAGTTTTCTTTGGGCTTCTATTCTAGGAGCAATTGGAGAGATTGAGAGTTGATTGTTGAGGGTTTATGAGAGATTTGTAACCCTAGTTTGTTCCTCTTGATTTCTAATAGTGAAAACTCCCCCCTCCTTGCCCCGTGGACGTAGGCATCTTGCCGAACCACGTAAAACTGGTGTTTGGTTGTTTGTGCTGTTGATTTTGGTTGGTTGTTTATCTTTCTTGGCGATTGTTTTGGTTTCTCGAGGCACAACAATTGGTATCAGAGCTCCGGGCTACGCTTGGGCTATTTTGGAGGAGTAGATCGCTTTGGAAGTTCATCTAGGGCTTCGTTTGGTGATAAAGGTGGGATCTTTTCAGTAAAAATCTCGTCTTTTTCAATTTGGATCTATTTCTCGTTTGTTTCCGCATTGGTTTGGTGGTGCTTTGAGATATATGGCTGAAAAAGATAAAAGTGGGGAGGGTTCTTCTGGTGTGAAGGCCGTCCAAAGTTTGAATATACATTCTATGAAAATAGATGTGGAAAAGTTCAACGGCACAAATAATTTTGGACTTTGGCGATGCGAAGTCATGGATGCGCTAAATGCGCAAAATTTGGAAGATACATTGGAGTTGGACGGGAAACCGGCCGACATTGATGAAAAGGTTTGGAATAAAATGAATAGAACGGCGTGTGGTGTGATTAGGTCTTGCCTTACCCAAGATCTAAAATATGATGTGATGAATAAAACTTCGGCAAAGAAGATTTGGGAGGTCCTAGAGGGCAAATATTTGACGAAGAGCATCGAAAATCGTTTGCATTTGAAGAGGAGGCTTTATCGCTTCCAATTGAAGAAGGGGACATCCATTAGTGATCACATGAACCACTACACGAAGCTACTTGCAGATTTGACGAATGTAGATGTCAAGGTTGAAGACGAGGACAAGGCATTGTTGTTATTGAGTTCCTTACCCGACGAGGAATATGAGACCTTCGTTCTCACTCTTATTAATGGAAATGCATCACTTTCATATAGTGAGGTCACCGCAGCCCTTGTGAATTATCAACTTCGAAAGAAGGACAAGGAGACTTCCATCGAGCCGGTTGCTGGTGCATTGGTTGCAAGAGCTAGAAGTCCAAACCGTGGAAGAAGGTCGCAGTCTAGAGTGGGGCATCCTGCAGTTGGTAAGAATCAGTGTGCCTTTTGTAGAGAGGATGGACATTGGAAAGCCGAATGCCCAAAATTGCAAGCTGTGAAGAATAAAGGGAAAGCTATTCAAGCTTCAGAGGTGAATATTGCCAAGGCTAGTGGCGATGTTTCAGATTCAGATTCTTCGGGCTATTCGTGCCCAGCTCTTCCGTCAGTTGATGTTGCCGACTCCACCGAGTGGATGTTGGATTCTGGTGCTACTTACCACATATGCCCTAGAAGGGATTGGTTCTCCAGCTTTCAGGAGTTGGAAAGAGGGGATGCTGTTCTCATGGGTAATGATCACAGATGCCCTATTGGTGGTATTGGTACCGTTCGGATTCGGATGAGTGACGGGATGATCCGGGAGTTGGCTGATGTGAGGTTCGTTCCTCAACTGAGGAAGAACATCATTTCACTTGGGGTATTGGAGGCATCAGGCTATAGGGTGATCTTGGCGGATTCTCGCTTGAAGGTCACATCGGGGTCCATAATTGTGATGAAGGGAGTCAGGCGGAGTAACTTGTATTATCTACTTGGGAGCACGGTAGTTGATAGGGCGCTGACTACTTCTATGGCTAGACTGTGGCATTGTTTGGTGCTGGGATATATTGTTGGTTATACCGTGCACAGATTGTTGAGGAGTGCTATGACCTGCAGATTGAAGTCCTGTAAGCACATTGGTATGAGCGAGAAGACCGAGGTGGAGTTCAGCACTTCTATCCATCGATTGAGAGGTCTTATTGGAGGTGTTCAGTCAGGCATTTGGGGGCTTTCCGAGGAGGCATCATCGGGAGGTAATCGTTATTTTGTTTCCTATGTTGGGGATTGTACTAGGCATATTTGGGTTGCAACCAAGTCCCGTTGGTATAAAGACCTAGTAGTCCGCAACAGTTGGAGGAGGTGTATGGGCAGAAAGGTTACCAGTCGTACTTGTACTAGTAGGTGTCCTTTCTTACATTGGTGCCGAGCTCACGGCAGTTGGAGACACTTCAGAGGGAAGGAGACAGTGGGGCGACGTGATGAGATGACGGATTTAGTGAGCCGTTCCTTTCTGGAGGAGGATCGGTATTGGTTGTCGAGCAGTGGATCTGGTATTCAGGCTTCGACAGGTTTGGGTCATCTTATGTGGCTGCCGACTGCTGCGTGTAGAGTTGTTAGATGGAGCTGTTTTAGATTTTGGTCGGCGTCGGATATTTGGCTACCCAGCACTTGGTCACATCGTTGATGTGAGTTTAGATCCGATTGCACAGTTGGGATTCAGGAGTTCATTTGGTTATCAGTTGGGAGCTTCTGAGTTTAGTCTGAGCAGGTTTGTCACTTTGGACTCTCGGCAGGTGGAGAGTATTGATCAGGTCAGAGGGATATCGCAGCAGGTGGAGGTTGATGCTACTCCACATTGGGTGAGGATTTTCCCACATACTCCAGGTCATTCTGCATTGGTTGGGATTCCAGCTGAGGGGGCACAGCGTGGGAGTCATTTATTTATGGGTGCAGATGATGAGGTAGTTGATTTGGATGCAGCTGATGGATATGTTTTGGATACGGCCATTGTTACATCTCAGGTGGAGGTGTTTGGATCGCTTCAGTTTGAGGTCGTTGATGATGCTATCAGCCGCAGGTTGGATTGAGGGCCTTTGGAGGCCCATATGGTGAACTACGTGAAGGCTTGATTCCTTGGGCAAGAGGATACGTAGGCAGTCTTTATGATGCAGCCGATTTGGTGAGCGACATCGACATTTGGGGAGAGTGTTCGCACTCCCATTTGGGTCTCAGCAAGTGAGGCATTTGGTGTAGTCGGTGTAGGCTCAGTTGTTTGGTGAGTAGACACAGTTGGTTTGGGGTTGAGTGTTCGCACTCCCGTTTTGGATCTCGACGTGTTGTGATTGGAGTCCGTTGTCATGAGTCCGTTGCCATGGCATACTGGGTGCAACAGTTGAGGTATTGGTTTGATCGGTGTCGGCTCAGTTTGGTAGAATCTTCGCCGAGGTCGACCGTACCGGTCGACCGACGCTGCGGTTTTGAGTTGGGCCTGTTTTCAGACCCGCTTTGTTTTGGATTTGTATAAATACCCATTGGGTGTTTTTTAGGGTTAAGAGCAAGGACGAATTTGAGCAGATTGAGAGAGTTTTCTTTGGGCTTCTATTCTAGGAGCAATTGGAGAGATTGAGAGTTGATTGTTGAGGGTTTATGAGAGATTTGTAACCCTAGTTTGTTCCTCTTGATTTCTAATAGTGAAAACTCCCCCCTCCTTGCCCCGTGGACGTAGGCATCTTGCCGAACCACGTAAAACTGGTGTGGTTGTTTGTGCTGTTGATTTTGGTTGGTTGTTTATCTTTCTTAGCGATTGTTTTGGTTTCTCGAGGCACAACAAATTTTTCTAGCATTCTTTCCGAAATCAATACATTAAATGAAGGATTACATACCATATAGCAAAAATGAACAATTGAAGAAATAAATAACTGGATGTAAGAAAATGACCAGGAAATTTCTACTATAGAAAAAAGCCTTCTCTTACCAAGGCAGAAGCAGCAGCAGGAGGAGAAAGTCCTATATCCCAAACTGTCACAAGAGCAGTGCCCAAGCCTCTAGCACTAAGCATCAGACGTGAGCAATCTACACCTTCTGGCGGTTGGGTTAATTGCACAACTTGTGTATCATTTACCACAGCATCTAGAAAACAGGTTCCACCAGTAACAGAAAGATTTACCTGCAAGACAAATATATGGGGTAACAATCGCATGAAAGCGAAGGAATTACTATCCCAACTGCTAAAATATTAGGGAAAAAACAAAACAAAAAAATGATAGAAGTGGAATAATAGAAGTTCTAACAACAATGATGGATATGAAGACCAGTAGCATGTCAAAATAAAAGGATGAAATAAAGGTGCAGCTATGGGGATAAAATTCATAGCAAGTAGACGTGCATTTGTAATTTTGTCAAGTATTTAGATCATCTACCCTCTATCTATAGGATTAGACCATCCACTTAATCACAGACACCAATTCATATCTAGACAACAATGACTAATTACTAACAGAGCTAAAACCAAACCCCCAGTCAATTTGACTAGTCACTACATTTAAGCTGAGAATGAATCGCAGCTCTAAGTAAATAGTAGACAACTTTGTTTAATGAAGGGGATGGTTCACTTCTAAGGCACAGCAGAGAGATCTGTAACTTTTGCACCACCATTTATTCTGGACTAGAAGGTGTACCAAAATATGAGCAGCATAAAATAATTTCTCTCCAGTCAGACAGATTTGACAAGAATGCTAAAAATAAAGGAATGCAATGAAAAAAAAAACAAATACAAATTGCACCCAAATCACTCCGTGATTGACGTGTGAAGATAAAGCAATGTATAACTATAAGGTTAACAAGGCAACTATATCGATCCGATAATTGCTTGACAGGCAAACTAAGTATTAAAAGTACAAGGTGTTATTCTTGCCTTAACCAAATATTAAATGTTGATAGATTCCCCCTGCAAACCCTTCAAAAGAAGTTCACTCGTCCATGCACAAAGTTATGACATTACATTTTACTTTTAAGAGGAAAAAATAACCCGGCTTCTAGTTTTCTTAAAGAGTCCACTAACTAGGGTTGTGCAATCGATCAGTCGGTTTGGTTTTTGGCCAAATTTGGCCAAACCGAACTGAAATGCCTATCTTTCAAAATTGAAGCGAACCGATTCAAGTTGGTTCGGTTCGGTTCGGCTCGGTTTGTTCGGTTTTTACTTTGGTACAACTGTTATGTCCAAATTCAATTTCACCTCTAATCTGTTGATGAAAAAATAAGTCTCTTACACTTCAATTTATTAAAATTCATAAACTATTAAATAATACTGAATATTAGATGTAGAAATCAAAAAACTAATTCTTACCAAAGATTACATAATTTTTTTTAAAGAAAACTTACATAAAGAATTAAAGTGATCTCAATCTGATAGACAAAGTAAATAAAAAATATGTAATAACTTGGATGTTGAGTAAAGTTTCCATAAAATTATACGTCTGGTCCAAAGAGAAGTTTGATCCAAAAATGTATCAATCGATGAGAAAAATCAGGAAAAGGTTAAAATAAACATTATGGTTTAAGTTTCTTACCTCCAAAGTGGATTGGTCCAAAGTAGAAGAAGTGAATATGTAATAGAGAGGGATAGAGAACTAGAGATAATGAAAAGCCCTAGAATTGGAGAGGACACTATTGTTGGGGTATTTTGTCGCTATTAAGTCGCGTGAGAGAAAAAGATATCAAGCTGCAGCGAAGTAATTCTATATGAACTATAATGGGTCGGGTTTAAGCGGATACAAATAGTAATTAGAATGGGTAATACAATTCGGTCGGTTCGGGTTGAAAAAACTTCAACCCGACCCGAACCTAACTCTAATAAAAAACGAACCGAACTGTCAAATTTTGGTCGGTTTTTCGGTTTGAACCGAACTATGCTCACCCCTACCACTAATAATATGAAACTACTTGATGGAAGTAAATCAGCTTAGAACTTGCATACCTTTGCTTCAGGATCAAAAACTAATAGCACAGAGCTCGGAATAATTCTTAGCGTAGATACCAACTGCAATAACCAACAAAGTATCAATAACAATAAGAAAAGGAACCTTTTCTTATTGGATTTCGTTCTCGGCACCAAATATCTACTGCAGGTGAAGAGAGAGAAAATTTGGTTTCCACCAAGGTTGGTACTTCAAATTAAATCTCTTGAAAGATTACACACCTGTAATTGCATAGCATCTGTAATGATGTTTTCTTTGCTCACGTCGAAATAATCCGTTTCATACAAATGGCTGTCCTTGACTTTAGCAAAACCAGATATTGTAGCTCGAATAGTACACTAGAACCAATTAAAATAAAAAAATTTAAAACAAAAAGAGGATTTTAGAGGCCAAACTTCCAAAACAACACGCTATAACATGTAAGCAGGCAAATCCCTGCATAAGATGTCAATTTGAAGCAGACATAAAAGCTAAGCAGCAGGCAAAAAAATAATAATAACAATAACAACAAATCAAAAGGAAAAAAAAAAGTTAACCCAGAGTTCCTTTGCAACCAAAAAAATATCCTAAAAATCATTTGCAGCATCCCAAAGGTCCTCAATAAGCTTTCCATTTATGACAGTTATGTTTTGTGAATTATGTAAATGTTAATTATAACTAAGACAACTAGACCTAGTAATATAATGCAATCGTGAATTAAACCAGAGGATTTCAACTATGCAGAAGGGGTTGGTAAGAAACTATAAAACTAGAAGGAAAAAGTTTGAAAAAACAAGATCTCATTATCTCACTAAGCAATTAAATTAATTAAGTGATAAAGATCATGAACATAGTTGAAATAATACTAACAAGTACTGACCAATCCTGATGCATTATGCAAAACTAGAAATCTTTCCCAACCGGTTTTCAGAGAACTCTCACAACTCAGGCTCTCGTTCCAATGAGCCAGCTCATCACACCCGTTCAGATCCCATCTCAAGCAAAGAGAAGATGAATTTGCAAAAATCCTTCCACTTGAATGAATACCAACTGCAGCTACACGTATGGTGCATCCATTAGCCACCACGACAGGAGCAGTACGAATTCTGTCTGGCGTACGACCAGCCTTTACCGCTGCCTCTATAATACCAGGTGAGTTTACTGTTGCACATGACGAATGTCAGAATTTAAAACACTGAGAATAAGAGGCTAGCAGCATATTTTAGACTTTCAGCTCAAATGAGGAAAAGATGATTGAAAGGCTGCCATATTGCCATCTTAACCTGACACGTGAATATGGATGAAGTTATCAGATAGAAGTTAGCTAAAGACAGATTCTAGGGCTGACTCGCACACTAAGACATATTGTACAAGTCAGATTCAGGCCCAAATATCATTAAGATATCCTGTATCAAGTTATAAATGCAATCATAGCAAATTCCAGGGTTGAACAGGGTCAATTGCAGCAATCTAAGAGCAAGGGACGTCAAAAGAGCTTATTGGAAGTATCAGACTATCAGTATTGTTGACTACAATCAATCAATTAGCGCCCTGATGAAACTGAAGCTGCATTATGATTGCGAGGAAAGAATCCTTCCTCTCCTAGGGTTAGGTTTGAGATGTACATATGTGATTAAAGATTTAAAGAATTTCCTTTGCAGAAAATAAGGAGGTTATCATAAGGTTCCAGAGAGCGGATTCTTATGTTAAATGTGAGACAAGGTTTCTTCTCAAGAAATCAAGAATAAAGGTTTTTAATCATAAGCTCTTGTATTGGGAAGTTGGAGGTATAAAAAGCTATCAGGTTGTGAGTATTCTGTTAGCTCTTGCATGTTGTCTAATATTTGCAGTATTGTTCCTGGACCTCATGAACATAAGAAATTGCCACACTTCTTTATGGTTTCATTTCAATTCTATGAGTTACTGCGTGTTTGATGAATTGGGTGGAATATAGGTGGCAACTCATGACTAACTTATTGATTAACAAAATTCAACTTGTTCAGATCTATGAGGTTTGGTTGATACATTGTTAGCCTTAAAGCCCATCAGCTAAAGCATTTCAGTAAAGTGGTTAATTGACAAGTTATAAAACTATAAGGATAATAGTTTTCAATGTACAGAAGCATATTGGAAATTCAAGTCATAAAAGGGAGACATGTATTTCACTAATCAACTGGCTGGGTTCTTCTAGAACTTTTTTTTGCACATCTTAATAATGTCAACCACACTAAAAGTAGTCCAGTCCAACTCATAATCAGGTTGCACATACCCTTCAGGCCATTGTTCATATTGATGAATCAGAGTGGAGTTAGGAGACAACATATATTTATCAAACAGCACCTTTCCTAGAAAAGATATACTTTCATAATATTGTGTTCACTCCTGATGCAATTTAAATTGTAATTAGAAAAATTAATGCTTAAAACGCTATATAACACATACCAGGTTCGTTTGCAATCAAAGTGATCGATGAAGGGAAGCTGCATTTAACAAGCAATTGTGTGTATGCTATCGAAGGAACCCAGTGGCCCTCGCCAGCCAAATTTCCCCGTGAAAAGAGCAGTTTCTGCAAGTAAGATAAATAGTCAAAAAGTAGAAAAGGTAGTATACAAAAGTGTGCACAATTACTGATCGCCAAGCACTTAGAGAATTGAAAGAAATCGTGGGAACTTTTCTTGTAAGCACTTACAAATTCCCCCAGTGTTTGACAAAAGACCCTGTAAAGCCCCCCATCACTGGAAGAAGGCTGCTGCACAAGAAGACCACCTGTTACTGATTTCTCTTGTTCCATCGTAACTTCTGTCAGTTCAATATGTTCAATCTTTTCATCCCACCTTTCAGGCCCTCCTAATAATAACACATCCATCCAAGATCCAGGGGCAAGATACATGTCATTCAAACAAGTAGGATCAGCATCATGGATATCAGCATGCGTCCTGGCTAAATCAATCCAATAACCACCAAACTGATTCCCACTATCTGCTTGACGAATAACAAGAGGCAAATATGCAGCAAGAGAGGAAACAGTTTTAAGGACGGCTCCGTCTTTCAAGTGAGCAGATTGCTGTAATTCAGTAGACAGAGTTGCGTGCAGCTCAGCTCGACCAGCAGCAGAGGCATATAAATGCGTCCATGCACAAGGTTGACCATGAGCGAGGCCTGACCCATCTAAATGTGACAGCATAGTAGGGAAGCTTTTCCCCGTGCTTGTGTCAAGAACTTTGAAAATTTTATTTTCAGGAAAAACTTTCCAACTCACAAAGGAGTTAAAAGCGTCACATCTGAAATATCTGTCACCTGTGGAAAATGGTTTAGATAAACTGCTTAGAAAATAGTTGGCTTGTGTTTGTGTGTCTGTGTTTTCAATGGGGCAAGCAGTGATGGTGTTAGTATAAGACATTTAATATATTTAGAAATATATGAAGTACCATCAGATGTTTCCAATGTCACCGCAGCTTCAAGTTGTGTTCCGATAACCACCTCTACAGGAAAGTTCGGAAGTACAATCATAGAAGAAGGAACAGAAACTTCAACCACCACCTATAAATAATAATAGTGCACAATTAATGGAAAGAAGAAGGGACCATGCATTCTATCCGAAGTATATTACAAACTGCAAAAAGATAAATTCAGGGGACCATTTATGTTATCGTTAAGAAGTTTTGATATTTTCGTTTCAAGAACGTGATCATCTTGTTCAAGTTCAAACAGGACTTGTGAGTACTCTTACTTCCAGATAAATTTCAAAAACCCTAAGTAATCATTATTAAAACCTCCCAGTATTTGTCAAGTGATAAGTAGAACCCTTTTGAGTGTTGCTTTTCAAGATAAAGCATTTTAAACACGATCACCTTTGAAAGAAATACTTGAAAATATCTGATATGATCCCCAAGGTTAACAAAATTCTGGATTATGCACTGATGTTTCTTTGTGACGTATATAATATTTAACATCTTCTCTCCAATACATGAAATAATATAATATATGTCATATTTTGAGAGCATTTTCAAAAAAACATTAAAAAATTGGAGGTATGGATTTCTAAAGATAGGAAAAGCTCACAAACATTTCGCAACATATAAGAGATCAGGGTGACTCTGAAGATTTAGAGTAAAATGATACAGGTGCCACACACATTGCCTGTATGTGTATACAATGTATCAGTGACAAACAGAATGTTGCTCCATAATCAATGATTACAAAGTGCATACCACCAGATATTTGTCCCAAACTTTTTCATTATGCACTTAAGACGATGGGGTAAGAAATCTATTTGCATTGTCCACAAAGTATGTACAAACACATGGAGATGCATAGGTTTTTTAATACAAATTAACATGTACCACAAACATTATTCTAAATAAACAGATTCAGAAATATAAGTTATGTGTTTCAATAAGAGAAATATAATGTTTCAAGAAGATGAGTAACAATGAAAAGAACGTAGTTCAAACATGATATACCTCATCAACATTGATTGAATCAAAAACTGAAACCACTTTAATGACAGCTCGACCAGGACTGTTTACTCGCAACAAACCAGAAGTAGATACAGACAAAACTGCCTCGTTAGAAGAAAGCCAAATATAGTCTTCAAGGCTTCTTCCACAGCCTAAGTAATCAGTCAAAAACTCAGGGGCCAAATTATTATTGCTAACATACATGGTGCAAAAGGCTAACAATGTACCAACCTCCAGTGGCCCTTAGTTCAACTTGCTGACTAATTCCAGGAGCCCAAGGAAGGCGAATGATTTGACTGGCCTCATCTTCTTCCCCGAAGTTGAACTTAACTTTACTGCAAACGATAACTTCTTGAACAGCCCTGAGAATCTAGAAACAGCACAGGGGTCAGTAAGCTGCTAAGTTCAAATTTTACCATATATAGAGACCAGCTCCCTAAAAGCACGAGCAAGACTGCTCCTTGGGCAGATGCAAAACATGTCACAGATGGGGTACAGAAAACAGTAAAAAATAAAGAAGGGCTGCAAGAGATATATTTACCTCAGGTTTTTCATTGATTTCACGATGATAATTCAGGGAAGCTGTCAAAATTCCCTGTCCCTGAGATATTGGCTTGAGCAATCTAGAGTTTTGCTTATCGTATGTGACAGAAACCTCATCCATCACAGATAATATGTCCCAATACTTTATAGTACTGCTATCCAATTTCAGATCATTAATCTGAGATAAGAAGGAAATTACAAGCAACCAAGAAAATTAGCTTCTAAAAAACCATTATGCAAAACAAAACTTATCATAGTATGAGACGTGAAAGGAATTAAGAATAATAAAATGCTCAATTTTTTCACAGCATACAAGAAGAGGAAAGAAGAAATGAAATATAGGTTCTGGTTGTACAATATTAAAATTCAATGAAAGGCAATGCATTCTAATAGCCCTGATATGAAAACAACGACAAACGATTCTATTAAGAAACTTTTTAAAGGCCCTTAGACAAGTACATGTTCAGAAAAAAATCAGTAAGGATAATAGGGTCTATCTTCCCTTTAAAGTAAACTATACACATAGCGAACCAAGACCAAGTATGAATATATTTCTGGTTTTCTACAGCAAACAACTGCAATGAAGCCTTTATCCAAACTTTTGGGATTGGTGCATAAAATATTTTCGTCCATTCAGCTTTGTCAAAAATGCCTCTTAGGTTAAATTCACAACCATTCCATTCTTATTAATTGCCTCCATCTATGTTTTTTAGGGACATCTATGACCAGTAATAGGTCATCATAAATTAGGATCTTACCACTTCTCCAAGTGTTGCACTAATAAGGTTAAATGAATATGGACAAAATATCACAATCAGTTATACCTCATTTCATCCTCAATCAGAAAACCTCTAACTTCCTAGGAAACCACTATAATATCTGTTACTCTTAGCATATTTGTACACATCCATCTCAACATTCTAAATTTCGCTAAACTCAAATTTTGAGCATGTTCTCAGATGCACAACATTCTGACTCATAGAGTATTGCTATCCCTTATAAAGCCTCTGCTTCGACCAATTCGTTTTCAGCGCATCCTCCACAATCTGAGTATCCAATGACGGCTGATCTTTAGTATTGAAAATTGTTTGTCAGTTATACTAATAACAAATCCACCTGTACTAAAACTATGTTTCATACATTTTTTTCCCTGTGTTATTCTTATTCTAAATAGTTTTAAAACCAAAAACTTCCATCAACAAAAGAAAACTCACCAAGTGACAACTTCGTAAATATGTATAGTAAGTCTATCCATGTAAAAATGATGAACACTAAATATGGCTTTTTAGATATTGATCCCTTAGTTAGCCTTATTTTGGGATTGGTTCCCCAATCTTCAAAATTGCCATTCAAGCCTCCCTTAATCCTCTTGTTAAAGCCCATCCATCTAAAGGAATATTCATTTAACATTAACAGTTTTATCACTTGTGTTATTCTCATTATATCCTTCTCCATCCAATAACCCAAACCCAAGTTTCTCCCCTCTTGCAGTCACAAATTACACGAAATTCAAAAGTTCTTAGTAACTTCTAGAGTTTGCCTGCATTAGGACCTCCTGTTGGCTAAAAATGCACATAATGAAAATGAATCAGATATGGATGAGCTTGGATTGATAGAATTGCAAACCTCTGTAATGTATATCTCCTTCACATCAGGTGCCTGTGAGAAAACTCTAATCTGAATGATGTATTCTTGGCCTGGAAAAACGTACCAAATGGCAGACGAGGGAATTGGTTTTGTTCCTTCAAGCATGGTAGAGGTAGTGGATAAAGGTACTATATATAAGACCAATTTATCCGGGATGACAACATGCATGCATGAGGTCTGTACATGACCAGAAAGTCTAGTGTCCTCAACAACAATGTTTGTAATTCCTAGGTTCAGCGCATAAGAAATTCCCATTTCACTGTCCACTTGAGCTACTGTGGAGTTTGACGCAGACCATCGATGATGTGGAGATGGTAGATCTACCACTGTGAGTACAAAGCATCAAATGCAATCTTTAATTTTTGAGACAAAAGTTGAAAATGATCAAGAAAAATTATGACAGGTATTCAGAAACAAACATGAGCAATTTGTTGAGTTTTCATAACCCAAGTTGTCATGGATAATCTGTGTTAAATAGAACTAAAATAAATGTAAATGAAAAGTTATATGTACTCGCAAAACGGAAACCAAGTACCAAAATTCCTCAGGAATAACTAGCTAAAGAAATGCACCCAAGCTTGTTAATTTAGTTTGGTATATCTTCTATGAATCCAATGAACTGACTTGTTTACATGGCCTGTCTCCAAAGATGGAAATTAGGTATTGAATGATCTGTTGAAGGCATAAGCTGTCAACAAGGATTACATTGTGGAAATGTAGTAGCTAGCTTATCCTACCATCTGTAGTCAGGTAGAAGAAAGATATACTAGTTATAACTTATAAGCAACATGAAATCATTTTGACAGAGAAACAGTAGGGTTTTTTTTTTTTAATAATGAGTGCAACAAAATAATAAAGGATTCCATAGAAACCACCTTAAAATAGGTAATTCTACAGGAACCACCTTTGTGTTTCAATTTATTCAGAAACCTTTTTTAAAGTGGGTTTGTGCTGCAATCAACCATCTCACAGTCAAATTTTCACTAAAAAACCAAAAATAACCTTTAAAAATTCATGATCAAGGCATGTGACTTGTATTCGACTAGACATAAAAATTAACAAGTGACTCACGTTCCTTGAATGTGAGTTTCTTAAGATCATTTTTGGGTTTTTAGTAAAATTTTTTACTACAACACAAACCCACTTTTAAGAATGGTTTGCGTATAAATTGAAAATTTTAAGGTGGTTTCCAGGAAAACCCCAATAATAAATTATATTTTAATTTTCCAGAAACTACCCAGTACAAGAATCATAAACATGGGATGGAACTAGCTTGTAAATGGTATATAATATTGTGGGAAACTATACTTAAACTATGGTACACATGAGCAAAATTGCTTAAGATTTAGCTGCAAAAGGAAAAACAATAAGACTAAATTCCCTAAGATCTTGTTCTAAAATATGCACTTTAGAACACAGACTACTTATAGTTCATGATATTATGATCCTTGGGCTATGTTCCGAACTTCACAAAGGAATATCTGAACAGACTACATGCCACAAATTTCTCTTATACAAGTCCCAGATAACAGTGTTATCTACTAGTTATACAATCCGAATAACCTCTACACTGCAGAATGTTTTCATCCAGCCATTTCCTTGAACATATTAAGAGCATTCCTTTGAAAAATTCAACGCAAAAAGTGATATTATTAAATAATAAACTATCATTTATTTCCCGTGTTAAACTCAAGGAGGAAGTTTAATTAGTTTCAAGTATGTTCTCCATAAGTCATACTCCTCGCCAACTGTGTTTTCGTATAAAGAGGTATGAAACTGGACAAATCTAATATGGATAAACTTGGTAATACTAGTTGAACGCATCAACATAGGTTAGCTGTGCAAAAATGTTTTACCTTATCGTACCTTCTAAAAATGCTCCACTATCAAAATAGAGGGAACATAGTATAAATTTTTGGGATAACAAAATCATTAGTTGCACATAAATTTTGACCATACAAAGCATTAATCCCCCAAATAAAGCTATGAATAAATGCCCAGTAAGTATTTCACAAAATAATAAATTATCCCTAGTTTTGCATAAACTATGTAGTACAATAAACACAGCATAAAACTAACTCGTAAATGGTATGTATTAGTGTGAGAAACTATACCAAGACTATGGTATGTTTCTTAAGATTTAGCTAGAAAAAGAAGAAGACTAAGTTCTCTGAGAGATTGTTCCAAGAGTTGTAAAAGTAATTGCATGACCTCAGCACCCCAGTTTTCTGGTATTCTAGAAAAGAAATCTACTGCAAACAAATAAGTTGCACAATTAATAGGAAAATACCCCCGTATGGATGGAATGTGCGGCTATATAAGCAAAACAGATAAAGAAATCAATGCATTTTCTTCATAAAGTTTCTACAAGGAAAATACCCTGAGGAGTATTAGCACGAATAACCCTAAGACTGTAGTATATCAATGCTCCAACAGTAATGAAGACCGGGGATGGAGGATCTAATGACATAGCTTCAGCTACAGTGAGAATGATCTTGTCCATCACGTGCTCAAGTTGTGGCTCAACCAACTGGGCAGTCACAACCTCATGACCAATTTTAGTTCCCCTTACAACATATAAATCTGCACCAAAGCCCTGAGATGCATAACTGAATTAAGAATAAACCATTCAAATAAAACATGGTGCTACTGCTTTAATTAATTTAAAAAAAAAAAGAGTATCTGATACACGGTAAATCAACTACATACTCTATCTTCCAGGTCTATCTGAGTATCTAAATCGCCACAAAAACCGCCACAATCACTCAGTGGTGTTTCCTTCAGTGGAACATGGACGAGATGATGAATAGCATTAGGTTCTAAAGACTTCGGCTCAAGCTTCCAGAGAAACTTTACACCTACCAACGATGAGAATACATTTTCTGCAATAATTAAAATTAAATCAAGAAAGGATTACAAGCCAGAAACCTGGTGAACGTACTATGAACAACAATGAAAGAAACAGAAACTGTCAAACAATTAAATTTACTAATAAGAATAGATGATAATCCAAAGCAGAAAAGAAAGAAAAGAAAAACCAGTAAGAAGCAAAAGAATGTTTTGCACGAAGATAATCTTCCATCCTATTACTTTTAGTTCTACCCATCAATTGCACATTTGGTTACCTCTTCGGAACAAAAACTCCATCTAGAATTACTCATTTTTGTACAAGTATATAATATGTGTGTATAAGATTGATGTGAGAATGTCTTTATTGCTCAATGATGTTATAGGAAAGCATGTCCTTGTTTCTGTCACAACTATGCAACACTGATCTATTGAATGCTGACAGACCAGGATAATAGTTTTGCAATTTGACTATTTTTTCATATCATGTTTCCTAAATCTTTAGCAAACTACCGCACAGGAAGAGCCGAAAAGCCAAGATACAAGTTCAAATAGTAACATAACGAGTGTCCTTACTAAATCACATTTTGGGGTGCCAGGTCGTACGTTGCATAACACACTAATTTCTTGTAACAAACAAAAATTAGGACATAATAAACGTCAAAAGCGACAAAAAACGTCTACAACACAACTATTCAGGGGTCATCTACAGAAATCCTTTTGCTACCCCCACTTGCATTTCTTTGGTCCGCACCTCTAAACTTGTAACACTCAACTCTCACTACTACTTTGGAGTTTCAATGAACTGTAATACGGCTTAATGCGTTGTTCGAACAATCCAGATTCAACTCTCACTAAGTACCACCACCAATGAGATCATGGTAGAGTACAAAATTATTATGAGCCCCAACCCTAGCAGAAATTTTCAAGTTTGGGTCCATTGCAAGTAAGTATAGCGCTTAGGCACAGTAAATGCGCTTAAAACTTTACTTAAACCAGCCATATCTTGCATCAGAAATTTCGCAGTATAACCGATTCTATCAACTTCTAACAATCAAAAACTCAACTACCCTTTACCTTCGTCATCAAACCCCCCCAGCCATATCTTGCATCAGAAATTTCGCAGTATAACCGATTCTATCAACTTCTAACAATCAAAAACTCAACTACCCTTTACCTTCGTCATCAAACGCCCGAATGCGCAGCGTCGCGAGCTCGTCCAAATCAATCTTCACCGCGTGGTGAAAAATCTGGATCCTCGAGACCCTATCGATGAAAACCTTACACCTGATCGTGATCCCGGTCCGCCCATCCTTCGCATAAACCGCCGTCTCCTTCCGACCAGCGTACGGCGCGATCGACATCAGCCGAGCGCTCGTCGAGCACCTGCTACTTCTATTGTACTCCGGTTGCACCGACAATATATCGTGATGATCCCATGACCTAACAAAGAGAGAGTAAGAACAAAACATCGAGAATCGAGCGGAATAAGGCTAGAAATTAGGCTACCAAGAGAAGCAACCGTCGGAGCCCTGGAGGCGGTAGTCCGCACGGGAGGAGGTGGAGACGAGAGGGGAGCGAGGACGGTCCGAGGTCGGTGATGCTGGGGGCCGGGGAGGGGTGGGGCGGCGGCGGCGAGGGAGAGGAGGAGGAGGAGGGGGCGGCGATCGCCGGCGCCCCCGCTGTTGGCGGCATTTCTGGGGGAGGTTAGGGTTTTGGAGGGAGGAAAAACCCTAGCTAGGGTTTAGTGGGATCGGGGAGTGTCGCGTTGTGGGAAGGGCGGGAACGAGACTGTTTTTGGGGGTGGGCGAGGGCGACACGGTTGAGCTCGGTTTTATTGCCTATTTAAGCTCGAGAAAGCTGTTCAGCCTGTTCCCTTTTCTAGATATTTTTTATTTTATTTTTTTTTATAGTGTGAGCGAGTGCGTTGCACATGATCTGTGGGAATTGCGAATTTAGATTCTTTTCGAAGTTTGTGCCTAGGCAATAACCACAGTGGAATTTCAAAAGGAGAAAAGGCTAGTCCTTCAATTTTCCTCTACTAGTCGGCAACACCGTGCAAAACACAGCATATCATTTTTTTCCCTGCTATAGTAATCACGATTTTTAAAATACTACAGTAATATTTTAGGTTGCTACAGTTCCCATGTTGCTATAGTGGTGCTTTAAAAAACGCTACAATATCCAGTTCCTACTTGCTACAGTGATAATAGTACAGTACTATTGTTGTATCATTTTACTGTAGTATGAATAGTAAATCTTAGGTGCTCCTATTTGTATAGAGTAGTAGATTGCTAAATAATTCCTCGAATTATATCATTTCCTCATTAGTACCTTAAAAATTAAATTTTCAAGAAAATTCGTCCCTTTTTGTTAGATGAGGTTATTTATAAAAGTGAATTTCTGTTAACTTTAGCGAATTAGATATTTTCCCCGTTATAACTTCACTTGTAATTAACTTTATCGCTTAAAACGTTACCAACAAGTTCCGTAATGGGTTTATACCTACAAACTGCTCTAACTAAAACCTAGCCCCACTAATTTCTTCTTCTCCAACGATCACTATCAGGAGCTTCCCCCAAACCCAATTTGAAGTTTTTCTAATGATTATATTCCCATGTAGGGTTAGAGAAACCCTCATATGGAAAAAAGTCAGTGTACTTAGATAATTTTAAATGTTGGATTAAAGCTTAATCCATCTAGAGTTAGAGAATTTTAGCATAATCCCTAACATAAGATGAAATTGCATGTAAATAAAGATTTAGGGGACTAGTATGCAATTAATCCAAAAAAGTGTTTTTATATATTGGTGATGGAAAGTGAATCTGAACTAAATTTAAATAGATATTTATTAGGGGTGAGCACGGTTCGGTTCGGGTCGGTTTTTACCAAAATTTGAACAACCGAACCGAACCACTTATAATTCAAAACCGAACTGAACCGTTGCAAATCGGTTCGGTGCGGTTCGGTTCGGTTTGTTCGGTTCTAACTTTCATCAAGTATAACAATCAAAGGCACAAATATTACTTGTCCCAAGAGATAATTTGTATATATTTGTTTTCATATGCGCCCAAATGCAAACCTCCGAGTCGTCGGAGGACTTGGACTTCTTGATGGAGTTGAAGGAGAACACCTAACGCTCGTCGCCGAAGGGGCCGCCACGCTTGCGGGAGGGGGAGGGGGAGATGGTCATTTCGGGAAGAGGAGGTGAGAGTAAGGGGTCTTGGAAGAAGAGAGAGAGCGGGAGAGAGGGATTGAGGCCGAGGGAAATGGGAAATTGGGAATGAGTAGCGGCGGCTGTGATTTGGGAATGAGAGGAAATGAAGTTAGGGTTGAGGGTTTGGGACGGGTCGGGTAAACACACACGAGTTTGAAAGTTTTGGGAATATATTCGGTCGGTTCGGGTCGGTTCGGTTTGAAAAGTTGTCAACCCGACCCGAACCGTCTTACTCTTAAAACCGTTTTTTTCGGGTCGGTTCGGGTCGGTTCGGTTGGTTTTTTCGGTTTGAACCGAACCATGCTCAGCCCTAATATTTATAGATCAAGGCCTAATGAGTTTTTTCTCTTGATTTTATCCAACTCTCCTATGAAGTTTTTGAACTTCTTTTTTGATATATTAATTTTTCAAGGCTTATACTTTTATCATCGATAGCAATTTCTGAGCCTAGAGGTTGCTCAAGATATTGTTTCAGTTAGGATAAAATTGAAATATTGCAAAAGGAATTATATGACAAACACAATTCGAGATTTGATCTACTTGCTATTTGTTTAGAGTTTTAATTTTCTTTATCACCTAGAATGTAAAAATTTGGGTGTATATATGATTATCTAAGTCTTATGATGTAAACATAATCAATGTACAAGAACGCAAATAAAATTATTTGATTAAGAGAAATAGCAGGTGCCATGATTGTCTAGTGAGGTTATTTCATTTTAGTCAAACCTCGAGGGTTTATTGTTAACTTTTTTTTCCCCTTTTAACTGATTTAAGGGCGTGTTTCAATTAAGGGTAATGGGAGGAGACACATTAACTTTGTTTGGGGATTCATTTGAGTTAGATAACGAGGGAGAAGTTAAAGGTTCAAGAGTTACATGGAAAAATTGGTTAAAATTAGAGACCCAAACAGAATTTTACCTAGACGCATATAAGTGTTATCTGGACTTTTGATTAACCATGGACGAAGTGCATTGGCTAAATTAAACATTAACGCGTTATAGTTTCACCAACCTTACACCCAGCGATCTTTATTTTAAAACAGAGCAAATAAATACACCAAAGTATTTAAATATTACAGATAAATATCTTAAAGTTTCAAGATGTTGCACTTTAGTACCCTCTTCTTTACCTAATACTATATATAAATACTCATAATTTGCAAATAGTCTTCTTTAAATACTCTAAATTTTCTAAAAGTTACATTTTAATACGTTATTGAATATAAAAAAAACTGAATTCTTTTTAACTTTTGGACAATTGTCTACAGTATTTAAATAATTTGGACGCCACCAAGCGCGTATTATGCTCTCTCCTCAACAAGAACTCGGCCCAAAAGCCCATGACCGAAAGCTCGAAACCATCGACACCGCCAAGAACTCGACTCACCTAAACCCTAACTGACGATGATCGCCGCCGGCTCCACTTCCGACCC